TCAAGTGTTCTGCCATATCACCAGCAGAGGAACAAGACACAAAGTATGGCTCCTTCGGAGGATACCATGCTGCCTACGATGGCAGACGAGAAGTCGTTCTCCAAGGGCCCTCTTGAGTTTGTCGACGATGCTCAGCACTTCTCGGATAATGAGCAGAAAGCCATCCTGCGTCGAATTGACCTCTGGTACGTCGCTGTCTTGAGGCCGAGACTCGATACATCTCAGGATATCTTCAGAAGCCCTAACCTGACACTCGTCGTTATAGTTTGCTCCCCCTGATGTTCTTCTCGTACTTGCTGCAGTACCTCGACAAAACAACCCTTTCCTATACCTCAATCCTAGGCCTTCTGACTGGAACGGTATGATTGATTGACCATCTTCAACCATAAATCACTTTGATTTAACATTTCGTGGCGGAGCTAGCATATAACCACTGCACAGTATGCATGGGCATCGAGCGCATTTTACTTCGGCTACCTTGTTGCCTCGTATCCTGTGTCATTGGGTTTTATCAAGTTTCCCATCGGAAAATACCTTTCTGTCATGATGTTAGCCCTCTATCCACCCCTCCTCAATGAAGCAGTCCTGCAATCAATGAGTCGAGCTGACATATGGTGAAGGATCCTGTGGGCAATTATCCTGACCTGTCATGCAGCGGCTTCGAATTTCGCCGGTTTGACATCGCTAAGAGTCCTTCTTGGTGTGTTCGAAAGTGCAATCAGTCCGGGATTTACCATGCTGATTGGCATGTGGTATACCCCGTCTGAGCATGCGATGAGAAGTTGCATCTGGTTCTCGGGAAACGGAATAGCCGCAATCTTTGGAGGTGTGCTTGCGTACGCCATTGGCCATATTGATGATCATTTGGGCGCCTGGCAGGTATGTGGAATGCAGCTCACGGCAGGGCTAAGGCACCAGGCATTGCCACGAAGCCTGAATCAGGTTGGACCGACTGACTGAAAGTTCCTTGTCCTCCAAATAGTGGCTGTTTATCATATTCGGCCTAATTTCAATCGCCTGGTCGGTTCTCCTGTTCTTCACTCTGCCCGATTCGCCCCTCAACGCCAAATTCCTCAAGCCCGATCAGCGAGGCCCAGCCTACCATCGTGCACAAGGATCTCAGAAGAGTTATCAGAGTCGGAGGTGGAAGAAGGACCAATTCATTGAGGCGTTAGTCGATCCAAATACTTGGTTCCTAGTGTTGTATAACTTCTTTGTCTCACTGCCAAACGGCGGCATCACCAATGTAAGGTTTCCCACTAGACCCGCTCCGAAAACCAGTCCAGAAGAGCCTGGCAAAAGAAACATACTGAATCAAGTAGTTCGCCAGTATTGTGATCGAGTCGTTCGGTTTCGACACCTTCCACACACTAATGTACGAGATCCCTTTGTCTGCTGTCGCTCTCGTCATGCTCTTTGCCATCGCCGTGACGTGCAACCGTTTCCCTGGCTTGCGCTGCTACTGGATGATCTTCACTCTTTTGATCAGTTTGGTCGGTATTCTTCTAATGCGGCAGCTGCCCACGCACCGGAAGTGGGGTAGACTGGTGGGAGTCTGGCTCGTGACGGTCTTCGGAGCCGGCTGGCCACTGAGTCTAAGTTTGGTCTCCAGCAACACAGCGGGCTTTACCAAGAAGGGTACCGTAACTGCTCTTATTTTCATTGCTTACTGTGTTGGTAACATTGCTGGTCCACAACTTTTCAAGAGCACTGAGGCCCCTCGCTATAATGTAAGTGGACTTCTGATTGAATCAGGAAGCAGGCGAGGTGAAACTCAGCCGCTTGCCATATGTAACGCGTCGAAGAGGGACAAATCAGCTAACCTCTGCACTAGACTGCATTCTCAGCAATCCTTGCGTGCTTCTGCCTTGCTGTAATTGATGTCATTGGCCTCCGCTGCTATATGGCCTGGGAAAACAAGCGACGCAATCGCAAGCAGGGACGAACTATCGAGCCTGAGCTAAGCAAGTCGGACGACGCGACTGATGCGTCCTCTGAGCTGGGTGGTGACGGAGATGTTTCTGATTGGCAGAATCAGAGCTACCGCTATTGCCTCTAACTGAAAAATAGTAGCTAGAGGGCCGGGGAGACGGACCTCAACGAGTCTACCTTTTGTGTGTCTTGAAAGTCTCCTGTATCCAGAGTTGTTAGACTCAAGAGCATTGATCATGTGTAGAAAGATGATGCAAGTCAACGCTTCGAGTATTCGTCATTATATCATTGTCGTATCTCAAGCCAAGCAAGTCAAGCAAAACTTGTTTGCCACCCTAGAAACTCCATAACCTCCTCCCATTCAAAGCGGCCAATGCGTATCTGTGTGACTGCATCCGAATTCAGCGTACGGCGTTTCCACAGCAACTCAACTAGGGTCTGTGCTCTCATTGTGTTTTCGTATGGCGCTTTCTCTCGAGCAGTCCGAAACAACGCTAGAGCCTTGGCCTGTGCCTCCGAGTCCGGGTCACTACAACAAGCCGCGATGAAAAGGGGCCACAGAGGCCAGGATATGGGTAAGAAGTCTAGCTTCGATACAATCCTATTCACCAGAATGAGAATTGTGTGGACGTGATCTTGTATTTGCACAGAATCGAATCCTTTGATATTCGTTGGCGTGAACCCTAAGAATGAGGATTTGCATGCTTCAGAGAGGAGCAGAAAAGCGGCAAGACGATAAGCCTCGCCTGTATGCTCTAATAGGCGGTATGAATTCGCGCGTTCGGTGACATGACGGTGAGTTATCGATGAGCCTGGAAGTATTTGCGTGACATTGCCGATGCTATCTCTCAAGCCTAGTATTTTTGTTTCAATTGACGCTTGAGCTGCAACAACCATGGTCGGTGGATCCGAAGTTTGACGGCATTTTAAAGCAAGAACATCCTCTCTGATAGTCAATGTGTCATTTATCAAGAGAAGAAGGTGATTACTGAGGCCATTCCAGATGTCTATCTGATGAAGAGTATTCGAATCCATCGCGCCTAATAGAGCGGCTGTCGAGGCCCAGGAAGTCTCGCGCAGATCCAGGGTAAGAGTCGGTGTGCCTTTAGTGTCGAGGTAAAGTGGTGGTCCCACGACAGGTAGCAAATCCTCAATGGAAAACAAAGACTTGGCGAGTACCAGATGTGCAGAGAAGTAACTGACAAAAAATCGGTGCAGGACGGATTTGCAAAATCTCCCTTGAGCTGCCCGCTTGACGAGGAGCTGGAAGCAAGTAAAATGACGCACCCAGGACGAGTCACAGCTGGCGGAAATCTAGTAAACAGAGTCAGGGGCGAAGGTCGAAACCAGAAGGACACCACAAAGGGGCTTCATCACTCACTGCCGAAGAGCAAAGAAATATTGTTGGCACGAGGACATCCTCAGTGTCCCAAGTCTCTCGTGTCAATGCTTGTCGTAACCCTCCAAGTACTCGTTGCCGCACTTGCATCTCCAAGATTGTGTATTGAGAGTCAAATGAGCGCATATACTGAGAACTAGCCATGAGGACCGCATAGTACGTCAACTCAGACCTGAAAGCCATACGCATCACCGTACTGCGGAGGGGATTGTTATCCTCATCGTCAACAGTGACGGCGACGGGACACATGACAGATTCATAGAACGATAGACACAAATGGTCAACGTCCGGTATGCCAATACTCCATGGGAGAACAGGCAGCGCCCGGGCTAGTGACGCTGATTTGCGTCGATCCCATTGATAGTAGCGGCGCTGGTAGACGGATTCCAGGGCCTGGTCGCTAGTTACAGTGTTTTGTTGTGGACTGTGGCAGGCGGGTGGAAAGCCTATCGACAGTGCTTTCTCTTCGCCATCGGCCTGACAGGTATCATCCTGATCTTTGCGTTTGGTCCGTGTCCACGGCTCCATGACCGTATCAGCCAATCGTTTACGTGCAGGTGAGTTCATCTTCGATTGAACGCCTGTTCGTCCATGACACTTGCCTACTGCACGCATTTCGTCCTCCCACTGCAAGCGGACCTCATAGCTGCATGCATATCCAGACCGCCTGCATCGCATGCACGTGGGATGAGTTTCTAGAAGCGGGAAGAAACGCTTGTATGTGAGCCACAACTTTCTGCCTTTCTGCTTAAGGATCCGTAAACATACCATCACATTTTACCCGTCTACGCCGACAGGTGTTGCAGCCCGTACGAGACCGCACCTTGGGCTTGGGAGGCTGAGGTGGCTCGGGAGGAGGAGTGGCAGCTATAGACCATGAGAGAAACATGTCTAAAAACTGCTGATTTGGAATGTCGTAGCGAGGCTGGTTTGTGCTGCAACGGGAAATACTGTAGTCATACAAAGGCGCAGGATACCACGAATTGTGGGTGACTTGTGGAAGGCAGCAGCAGTTGGAGGGGAAAAGGCCATGGTTGGAGGATTTTGACTATCTCCACCTCCAACCTCGTTTGACCCATCAGGCCAGTGACTCCCGCAAATCAATTTATGAGGAGCCACCTGTAAAGGACTAGAGTCTGGTCGGTGCATGGCGGACCGCAAACTAAGGGAGAGAGAGGGACTCCGAGAAAGATGGTCGATCGTGCGAAGTGGGGAAGCGGAAGGGGGGAACAACGGAAACGAGAGTTTGGCAGCTCTTTGGCTCCGCGGCCCTCCCGGTACCGGGCCCGGTCACAACGGATACCGCCCGGGTAACACACTAGTAGTAGTGTATTGTACGGTATTTGTATATAGTGGTAATCTGTTGTATCAGCCATCATCGGCGATCCCAATTCCTAATCCCTGTCACTCGATAGAATGTTTCATTGGCATTACATCTTGCTGCCAGTCTCATAACGTCTTTACTCTCACCCAACCACCGCAGGCGAGAGCTATCCCTTATCCACTTTCTCATCTCGGTTCCCGCTCGGTCCCGAGACGCGGCATGTCGGCAGTGGCATTGACATGGATCTTGATCTAGATCGCTGTCTCACGCCATCCCGAGAGTGCCTTCTCCGTAAAAGCAAGACATCGTACCTGACGGCCAGTCTCTGAGCGGGGCGCAGGATTGAATGCCTGTCGACTCGCCTCGAAAGAACGTGATAATCACGAGACGATGAGGCTTCTGAGGCCCCCTATATGCGCGCCAGATACGGCAGGCTGCAGACAAAGAATCAAAATATTGCTCCTCTCCCTGATAGTTTCGTGCCAACACCCTCGACACAGATCTAGGCCGACTGATGCCTCTTTCCAAGCATTTCATTCGCCATCATGGCCAGTTCGGAACAGTCCGCCTCGAGGGAGGCTCTGGTGATCGTGGGCTATGTCGTACCGATGGCCGGGATGCTATTGACCACGGGAATGAGGTTGCTGGTCAAAATTCGAGGTCACGATGATAGTTTCCATATGGATGACTACCTGATAATGCTTGCAACAGTGGGCTCTCCCTTTCAATGTGGCCGATCTCGCAATGGAAGCTGACAATTTTGTTTCTGGGAGGGTAGACATTGGAAGTGGCATACTCAGTGACAATGATGGCGTGTGGTAGGTGACGCAAGTAGCATCATAAAACTCAAGAACAATGACTGAGAGCCCCTAGGTTTGGGTCATGGATTTGGCAAACATACCTCCACCGTCGCAGAGAAGGATCTGGAAATCTTCTTGAAGGTACAGTACAATGAACCCATATTGGTTCGAAGTAAAGTATTGACCGAAATAGGGTGAGTATGTTGCTAGTCACCTCTACAACGTCGGTCTCGCTTCGACCAAGCTTGGCATCCTCGCCCTATACTACCGCATTTTCCCTGTGCAATGGTTATCAAGAACAGTGATAGGATGCGCGGTTTTCATTTGCCTTTGGATAACAACTATTGAAATCTTCATGGGAGTGCTCTGTCGTCCGCTAGCTGCATTCTGGAACCCGTCTGTGAAGGGTCACTGCTTTAATTCTTCGGCCCTCTCATACTACATCAACTGCTCTAACATGGTCACGAACATATTCATCTTCGCCTTACCAATCCCCGTCATCCTCCGGCTCCGCACGATCCTCACCAAAAAGATTGCATTGTGCATTATATTCTCCATCGGTTTCATGTAAGGCTTTTCTGTCCAAGAAGCTTTATATTTGGTGCTTTTCTCTAATACTCCATGCTTCACCTCCAGCACATGCGCCATCAGTGCAGCCAGACTAGCTTATGTCTTTGCGCAGAACTCTAGTGACATCACCTGTAAGTCAATTTGCAGGGCTCGAACATGGCGTGTTTTCAGTGACTAAAATCATGCGCAGGGGAGGGTGTCCCCTTGGCTGTTCTATCCGCTTTCGAATCCTTTGGAGGTATTCTCTGCGCTAACCTCCCGATCATTTACCGGCTCTTCCGCTCAGCCGCTCAGAAGATGACCAGCCGTACTGGCAATAGCTCGTCCGCCCCCAAGACACCTCACCGACAGTACGGATACGGATCGAACATGTACGGCTCAAAGAGTGTTGGCCGAAGACCCCGCGGTGTCAGTGCGGCTGATGATGAACAATGGATCCGGCTACCGAATGGCAACCTGTCCCACGGAACAACTCATGAGACTGGGAATACAATTGTGATCCAAGTACACGAAGGCTCTCACCCGGAGGAGAGTGAAGATGGTACGATAGAGCTGGTAGTGATGCCGAAGAATGCAATCACGGTTCAGAGAGAGTTTCACCAGAGCGTGGAAGATAGCAATTCGTCATAAAAAAGACAGGGCAGCCCATCCCTTACTCGATTCAATATCACAATTTCATATGTCCAACCAACCTTGAAATGGCATTAACTGTCTGCCTTCATGAGAACCTTGTGCGAGCCTGGCTCAGTCTCTGACGAAGCTTCGATCTGCAACTTTCTAATGGACAGCATGTTGTCGGAGTATAAGTCCGCACACGGGAACAAATCAACAGATTAATACATATGCCCCAATTACAGAGGCCTATCCTGGGACTCAATCTGCGAGTAAATGCCGAGATGAATCAACGCCGGCGACGGACAACTTCCGCAGTCCTGCACTAGATACCGGGCAAGCTCCGATCTCTGCGTGGTACGAAGCTGACCACTGACCCTGAACTACTACTTCTATCTCACAGCCTCGCCTTTAATGTACCATGCGGTTTATCTTCACTTCGTGAAGATCGTAGTCATGCCCATGTGATGTGCTCGGACCTCGAGATTTCAGAAAAGCTCCGAAGCTCATCCGGGAATACAAAGCTACTTGACTTATGGAGAAAGAAATCTGGTCTGTAACATTCTGCGAACGCACGGCTAGTTCTGAGAATGTCGCTGACTCGTGCAGTATTTTTTCGCCTTAGAGAATTAAAAAGACAATCCCAGCAAGCATTTCACTTCCTGGGCGTGATAGACTATTAAACTCACAAGGATCCAGGCTGAGACAGAGTGAATACTCGGAAAAGTTGGCTCAGGCACCTGGTTCCTGCTGGTTCCTGTTACCGCTCAGAGGATTACAGTAGAGGGCCTAGTTCATCGTCAAAACTGCGCGAAATCTGACGGTTCCTTTCACCATGGCATCTATGCAGAGAAATACACGAGTCAGTATGATTTTGCTTCAAGATCTGAGCATTTTTGAGAGAACTGCAATTTTCGAGGGTCGAAGATCCCGTGCAGAGGGTGTGGTCGAGAAGGCACGAGGCTCGACGGAGTTGAGCTCGGAGACTTCCTTCCTCGCAAACTCATCTTCCACACAGGACGCGCCCCCGTCAATCACGCAACAATGGGGTAGCAGGTCTTACCATAGGCCTCATTGGCCTCATCCAGCGGAAACTCCTCCACCATGCAGTTGATATCCTGCAATTCGGTGAAGGCAATAGCATCCTCGCTGTCAGTTGCATGACCTGACGGCCAAACCTGTACTGAAAGTCCTTTACCGACCTAGCAAAGCCAGCATCAATATCCAGTACCAACCATATAGTGAAGCAAACTCACCATGATTGAGGTGTCCACCGGTACCGGACCCGGCACTAAGACCTGTGTCAGCCCCTTGTTCTCACCACAACAGCTCAACCATAATATCTTTCATACTTACCCGACAAGATCAACAACTTTCCCAAAACTCCCAAACCCTTCAACAAAGGACTGATAATCGCCGCATTTGGTGCAGTCGACATGACCAAAGAGGCTCCACCCAGCCGCTGCAACTCCTCGCTCACATTCACCTTGCTCTCGTCGATATACTCGTGCGCGCCGAGCTCCCGGACCATCTTCTCCTTCTTCGAGTCCCGCGAGATGGCTACAACTCGATACCCCATCTTCCGCGCATACTGAATGGCCAGATGGCCCAGTCCGCCCAGCCCTTGCACAGCGACGATCTCCCCGGGTGTGATACTCATATGACGAAGGGAGTTGAAGACGGTGACACCGGCGCAGAGGATGGGGGCGTATTTTGCAGCGGAGACGTGCTCGGGCACCCGGACCGCAGCTTCGACGTTGAGGAGACAGTATTCAGCGTCTTGATCATACATGTCAGCAAATCAAAACTACAACCACAGAACAGATGACGAAGCGGGTGAACGAACAGCCACCATTCTTAGTCTCCCCATTCACCTGTTGGGCAGAGCACATCTGGAAAAAGCCCTTGTCACAGGCTCTGCAGGTACCTGTCGGAAGTGAGTTTTACGCTAGAAAGATCCGGCAATGGCTATGAAGGGGAAGGCCCGATACCGTCATGACCCCCATGCCAGCCACCGCCAACCCGATCCCCGACTTTCCAGTTGGAGACGCCGCTACCGAGACCAGCGACGCGCCCGATGATTTCATGGCCAGGAACGATGGGACTTCACATACAGACCAGTCAGTCTGTTTGCAGGACAAAGCGAAGCAGAAAGCTGGAGCAAATACGTACAAGCCGCCGCCCATGACATTATTTTGCGCCCATCGATCCGACGAGCAAACGCCACAAGCCTCTACCTTGACAAGGAGCTGGCGGTCGCCTGGCGGTGTGAGGGGGCTCTCTTCAATGACGAGCGGCGATCCGGCGGAGCGGAACACCGCTTGCTTGAAAGTTGCAGGAAGGGACATCTTGGCCCACGCGATAAAACACTGATTTCTCTCCAGAAGCTACAAGTGAAGTAGATGAAGATTGGCCTTCTTCTGACCTGGGTTCATCGAACGAAAATTATATCCGCTCGACGTGCCACTGCTTCTTTATATTCTTCCTACAAGTCTGTGCGGGGTAGACAAGCTTCGCAAATATCATTCATTACCATCCTCACATCCTGAAAAATTTCTCGTATTCATCTAGATGTGGCAGGAGTCTGAGAGGCTGGAGATGTCGCGGTCAATGCTGCATACGGCTTGTAGGGAGGCTCGCTGTTGGCTCCAAATCTTCCGCGTGCCTGTCTAGACGTTATCGCAGTGGATCTATGGTTAGCACGATTGAATACTATGCCATTGACTACTCATGCAAGCAGGGGACTCACTCTGCTCTGTGATAGAGCCGCCATGTAACATGATGATGCAAGTGAAGTCAGTGCGGGGCCGACGCACACAATGAGCTGCGGCCGAACCTCGTGTTGAATTACTCATCGAGATAAGACCATCATCAATGGCACCACACCAGCCTATGAGCTGATTTGTGGGAGCTTGACTGGTGAGCAGATAATTTCTTCGTCTAGAGGCTTATGCGGAGCTATTCTTGTTATAGATTTTCCAAGAAAGCTTTCCCTGTTATGGGATACTCATACGGTCAGAGCTTCGCAGGAACAGTATACGAGGTGATTTTCTCATCATCAACATCATCATCATCATCATCATCATCATCATCATCATCATCATCATCATCATCATCATCATGGAGCACCTACATCTGTCAGCAAAGCTTCGAGAAATTTATTCTTCTTCAGGATCATACGTCTTCAGGATCATAATGCGCATTTCGGTAGAAACGAAAGGCCGTCTTTAGCCTGTCTCCATTCTACCTATGTCAAGTAGGGAGCCACACGCTACAACCTCTCCATTCTCGTTCATTGACTGAAACTCCAATATACTTGTAAGAGACGTGTCAGTTCCTTGGATCTAGCTGGATCTAATGGGCCAAACGATCTAGTAAGTTATGTACAAGAGACATCGAAGGACGGGCTTCGCTCGAACTCAATACTGTGCGAAGTAAAAGCTCAAAGCTTTGAAGTCACCTGCGCTCTGTCGCCTGCCGGCTCCCCATGATTGTTCTCGTCGCAATTCGCTACTAGGGAAGGCTCAGGCCGTGGCAGAAACCGCTCCTCGCTTTTTTTTTTCAGCTCTTTAACCTCAACAAGCCCATAGATGTCTGACAAGGACGCAATCGAATCCCGCACAGCAGCCGGACGCACCTCTCTCCGAAGCGCCACCATCGCGTCCTGCATAGCCCTCACCGCAGCTCGAAGCGCCTGATTCGCGAAGACAACCACTCTGAACCCGGCCGCAAACAGCTCACCCGCCGAGGTATCCTCATAAGTCGTCGGATCCGCAACGAGCGCACAAGACGACGAGCGGTCCCACGCAGCCGCGAATTGTCTCAACTCCTCGAACGAATCCGACTTGGAATGCACGACCACGGCGTCGGCGCCCGCGTCGGCGTACGCCCGCGCACGCTCCAGGGCCTCATCCTTAGTCCGCCCAGCAATGAACGCCTCTGTGCGGGCGATGACGACGAAGTCGGGATCCGTTCGCGCTTCCACGGCGGACTGGATCTTGAGCGCATGCTCGTGCGGGGCTGTCAGTTCGCGCTGCACCCCCTCATAGAAGCTGCGCCGTTTCGGGAAGATGTTATCCTCGATGCATACCTCCGCTAAGCCCGCGCGCTCGCACTGGGTGACGGTGCGCATCACGTTGATCGCGTTGCCGAACCCGTTGTCGCAGTCCGCGACGACGGGGCAGGTGACGGCCTCGGCCATGCGTTGCGCCGCCTCCAGCGTCTCGCTCATGGTCAGGATGTTCGCGTCCGGCAGGGTTTACATTTAGTCTGGGTGAACAGTTCCAGCAAGGGGGTCTAATGACGGCAGAGGAGGTTTCCAAAACTTGGTTAACCTCTCTATCCCTTGCGGCAACACAACTGCAAAACAATCACGTCGCCACTGAGATGAGCCAAAAAGTCCTTTCCCTGAACTGCAGGAACATCATAACCATGATTGACGGATCCGCAGGTACGGACTCTGAAGCCGGCCTTGACGCTTGTGCTCCTCCGGAGGTCAATGCTGGGCTTCGCCTTCCCCTCACACTTCTAGCCCTGTCGCCGTTGATGTTGGCGGTTATCTTGAATGTCACCTCGTTATCGTCTGCCTTGCCGGTAGGGGTTACTCCGCTTGAAGTATCCTGAAGCACTCACTCACTGTCACCCCATACCATCTCGCATGATCTCGGACCGACTTCCGTTTAAGCCTTCTGGGTAGGAATCTCGTCTCTGATATGCTCGACGAGTGAGTGGATCGATTATCGTGACTCTGACAGTAGAGACAGCCTTCCAGCCTGTATATGGCTCCCTATCCAGCATCGTCGGTCGTAAGCCGATGATGCTGATTGCGATCGCGTCCTTCACTGCGGGAACCGTGACTGCGAGTCGGGCATCGAACGCCACGACCTTGCTTGTTGGCCGTAGTATTCAAGGGCTGGGAGCCGGGAGAATCACTAATCTCTCCGAAGTTATCCTGACCGACCTGGTGCCGTTGCGGCTGCGAGGACGATATCTGGCCGGCCTCAACTCAGTTTGGGCCATTGGCTCGACATCTGGTCCGGTAGTCGGAGCTGCCTTCGCGCAAGAGGTAAACTGGGTATGTACATTCGCCCTAGCTGTCCAAAATGTATGCTTCTCAACACCAGGGGGTTAATTTCTCGTAGCGATGGCTGTTCTACATCAACCTTCCTCTCATCGCTCTGGGACTCATTCTGATGATCTTCTTCACACGACTGCAGCCCCTGCCGGTCTTTCTGCAACACAAGCTGGGCGATACTGACTTTGGGGGTATCCTGCTGTTCACCGGGGGTATCACCGCCGTACTAATCCCCGTGACGTGGGGAGGCGTGATGTACGCCTGGAGCTCGTGGCACACACTCACACCCTTGCTCATTGGTATCGCGGCGCTGGCCTGCTTCGTGGCATACGAGGGCTTGTACGTGCCCGCCAGTCCCGTTATCTCGCTAGCCCTCTTCCGCACCCGGTCTCTCCTCGCCGGCTACATCGGCACCATGACCCACGGCCTGATCCTCTCCTGTGGCCTGTATTACTTGCCGTTCTATTTTCAAGCTGTCAAGGGCTACACGCCAATCATCTCCGGCGTCGCCCTCTTCCCCGTAACCTTCACTGTGGTCCCTGGTGCCATGGCGACGGGGATTTTGATCAGTCGGATGGGCCGATACCGGGCCCTCGTCTGGGCAGGGTGGCTTGCCACAACCCTAGGTCTGGGACTCACCTGCCTCGTGCGCGTGGACACAACCAACGCCCTCTGGATCTTGTGTCTCATCATCATCGGCTTAGGCCTGGGCATGCTATTTTCCGCCCTCAACCTGGCCGTGCTAGCCGCCGCACCGAGCCCGACCCAGACCGCCGCCGCCGCCACGATGTTCACATTCTTCCGCGCCCTCGGGCAGACTCTAGGCGTGGCGCTAGGCGGCACCATCTTTGCGAACCGCGTGCGTGCCCACACGTTGGCCAACTCGGTTCTCGAGGCCATTCGCACGCACACCACCACGGTGACAAACAACCACCTGGACCCGGTCGCCCTCGTGAGTCTCATCGATCCGATCCCCGACCCCGAGACAGAACAGCAGATCCGTACGGTGTTTGTGGACAGCCTGCGCGTGGTGTGGGCCTTTTGCTGCGCGATGAGCGGCGTCACCGGGTTGCTGAGCCTCGGGATGCGGCATTACGAGCTAGCGCAGCCAGTAAGTTTTCCCCGTCCTTTCCCCCACCCCCTCCCTTCCTGGTCATACAGTGCTTGGACCGAATGAGGGGAGTGAGTCGAGGCAGGATCTGGTGGCGATGCAGCCTTACTCGGCCAAAGCGAGTCATAGTTCGCTGCGGTCGATTCCGGAGTCGGATTATGGCTCGGTGTGATTGTATGTAGCACTACTTCTGTTCCTGCCATATGCTCAGCCCCGTATCTGATAGTTTGGATCATCATAGTTTCATTGTTTAAATCACGTAAATATACCCCCTTGTATCCGGAGCAAGAGGCAATATAAATGCATTCATAAGGAGCAACGACCGTCGCCTCTTCTTTATGTAGGACGGAGAACTGACCGCTAGTGTGTATTTATGATTGGCCACACCGTGTATCAATGTGGATACAGAGTGGATCAGGGATCTGGACGCTAGACTTAGGGCTGACAGTGCGGAGTATTGACAAGAAAACCACGACCATGGGTCGAAGATTGACAGGTAGACATACATACATCATTCCACACCTTTCCTAGCAACTACAGTAGAGTACAATACCAGTTGAGTCTGACGAGTATATGCTACCGGCAGGCTATTGTTATCCACTACAAATGACACTCAATGCCAGCTTTAGTGCTTACCCATCGAATCCCATAAATATCCCCCCCTCTAGGAGTATACAAACCTCCACCAACCCCAACTCATCCTCTCCCCCTCAACCACGAACACTACACACCATGCCGACCGCCACCACCACCACCACCAAAACGAACACAAAAGCCGCCCTCACGCACCTCAGCCCCCTCCTCCAGGATAGACTAATAACCCCCGCCCTCACCCCCCACTACCACACCGCAGTAACCACCCCCTGGTCCCAAACCTGCTGGACCCACGCCGCGGGCTACATCTACCCAAGAACCGTCGCAGAGCTCGCCCAAGCCCTGGCGATCCTCACACAAACCGACACGAAATTCGCCCTCCGCGCGACGGGCCACAACCCCAACGCCGGGTTCAGCAGCGCCGATGAGTCGGCGCTCGTCCTGGATATCAGCCGATTCCGGGAGATGGAGGTCACAGCGGATGGGGTCGCGCGGGTCGGGGCAGGCTGCACCTGGGGCGAGGTGTATGGGTGGCTGGAGGCGCGAGGGCTGGAGGCTGTGGGGGCGAGGCAGGTGCAGGTTGGGGTGGCGGGATTTGTTCTTGGAGGTGAGGTTTTTCCTCTGGAATGAATTGGGGAGTGAGAAGCTGATAATCTGGGCTGTAGGAGGGATGGGCGCGTTGCCGAATTTGTATGGGACGGGGGCCGATGGGGTCCGGAATTACGAGGTGCCTATCCTGCCGTCTTCACGCCAGATTTTCAGGAACTGATGCACTGACAATGCGTGGCCCAGGTTCTGTTGGCGGATGGCAGAGTCGTCGATGCTAACGCCCACGAAAACCCCGACCTCTACCGGGCCCTCAAAGGCGGAGGCACCAAGTTCGGCATCGTGACGCGGTTCGACCTCGAGACGCATCCTCTAAACCCCTGTTCAGTATACTATCGATCTCTACAACCCAGATGACTATACGGAAATCAATAGAGCTACAGCAGCCGCGCAGATGGCTATGGAGGACGACCCCAAGATAGGACTGTTCACGAACTTCAACGACGGCGTCGTCGCCGTCGGCATGTTCTACGCCGATCACATAGCTGCATCATCACCGTCCGTGTCTGCCTTTGCGCCCTTCCACGACCTCAACCCCCGGAAGACAGGGACGGCGCTGCCCACCACAACTGGCACGCTCCTCTCGCTCGCGGAAGTCATGGGCCATGCCCAGGATCTCCCGGGGAAACGAGCGATAAGCTCCGTGACCACGCGGGTCTCGCACGATCTTTACGACCGGGTCTATCAGTGCTGGGCCCAGTTGCGCGCGACGCTTCCCGTAGGCTGCGTGCTGCACTATACGATCCAGCCCATGGGCACAGCGGGCGTGCAGGCGGGGAGGAACCGGGGCGGGAATATCATGGGGCTGGAGGAGGTGCCGCAGTGCTGGTGGGTTTTCACGTGTGAGTGGTCGCAGGATGCTGGGGTAGATGTTGATGCTGCTGCCCACCGGGCGGTGCGGACGATGTCGGAGATGGTGGAGGCTCTGGCTCGGAAAAGTGGCGTGTTTCTGGATTTCAAGTGTATGAACTTTGCGGGGGCGGGGCAGAAGGTGCTGGCGAGTTATGGGGCGGAGAATGTGAGGCAGATGCGGGCGGTGGCGGACGAGTATGATCCTGAGGGCGTTTGGCAGGATTTGCAGTTTGGGGGGGTTCCTTTTGCGTGATAGTGCATGACCTCTCGCTCTATATCGGCTGTTGTCCTTTTCTTGTATGTCAAGTTCTATGTGGAATCTGTATGGACTGACATTCCCGAAATCCCGGAGCATCTTGCAGTGTATGGGCGCAAAGAGTATGGCATCCGTGCGGTGTATTGATGTATAGCTTTGAGACCTGAGCTCACGACCGACCCTCATGTTTCGACCGACCAAAGCTGCAAACAACATACCATCTTTCTCATACTTCTTTCGAGGATTCTAAAGCCCAGGCATAATAGCCCGAAGAGGAAAACCGGTCATGACGCAGGGGAGATCATGCCTGGGGATCGGCCTCGAACGCCTGTTGGAGTTATCTGTCGTACTGCTTTCTGTCAAAGAGCTTTTCAGCTGCAATGCGTCCTATATCCCTTTCCCAAAAAAAAAAAGGCATAACCGTATGAAACTCTTCAACCTGATCTTTGCAAAAAGTGGTCGCACATGCTGTTTGAAAATCATGAAGAGACCAGACGGGCTGAAGAGAGCGAGGGTATACCAGAACGTTCCCGTCGCCCAGGCTTTTTGCATGATTTCCGAGAGTAGCGGGGGCGACTTGTTGCTGTGACTTGCCGTCACCGCGATTGCTTTCTCCTCTGCAACGAGCGCGTCCATGAATTCGGTGCAAACCGGATCGCTCTCCGAGGCCACCAGCTCATCGACACCCATATTTGTGAGCCAGTAGGGAGGCCGAACCATCTCCACCGGCAAAGCGCACGTCCACTCCAAATCCACCAGGCACGTCGCATCCCAATCCGCATCCACGAAGATGTTGCGCTGGTGAAGATCGGTCAGCGAGAACACAAATGGCCCGCGTCGGAGGCCTTTCTGGAAGATTGATTTGGAGACGGTCCGCATCCCGGCGAGGGAAGCGAGCTGAAACAAACAGTCCCCAAGGTCATTGATTGCGTTAGGCTGATGCCGAAACCGGCAGTCGTGGCAGTCGAAAATATCTGTCACGTATGAGTCCACAGTAGAATAAGTATAGTCCCGCGGGGTGCCTGTAGGGATGTGTTCGTTCTCCAGCTGCTGGATTTCCATCGAAAGGGGCCAGTTTGCCAACGTGAAATACCCCTTGGGGTCGATGATGAAGGAGCCGATCTTGGGGTCTGGGGTCTGGCTGCTGCGCAGTAGAATGCGCGCGAGACCGTGGAAAATATTCGCCCGCCGTTTGCTGTCGTTTTGGGCGTCTGCCCATGTGTTTGACAGTATGCTTCCCCGGGTAGTGGGCTCAATGTATTCAAGAAGCAGATAGCTGGAGGTAACGGCGTGCTCGTTTCTCGCTGGCTGATGGGGAACGTATCTGGATGGAACTGGAAACCCTAGCCATGCGCAAGCCAGACGCGGGAATGAGTGAAACCACCGATATAGGAGCGGCAAGTTGTCGCAAGTGAACTGGGAATGCACGGATTAGCACTGGCTGGGGAGGGAGGCATCTCAGAGTGGCTGAATACAGTTTCACCGGTCGAAAGAGCAAACCCATAGAGTGCTGGAATCGGCACATCTGGAAAGTTCGTTTATAGCCATGTATAGCTCCCTGCTTCACATCGGACCTTTTCATCCCCATTTCCTGGCATAAAATCCTCACCGACCCGATAGGGGAGCGGGAGTCGAAGAATCACCCTGATGCCCTTGGGGCGAATGGTGACCGGAACGCAGACGTCGAAGCTCTCATGTAACCAGTCCTCAATATCTGATACATGACCCAGATCGGGAGAGTCTAGGCTCAAGTGGTGCGCGACAGTGTTTTGGATCCAGCCTTGGTGATTGTGGAGATGAGAAAAGAACTCAAACTGCTTATCATAGTACCCTAGTTGATGGAGAATGTTTGTCTCCTCTTCCTTGACAGATTCGTAGCGGATCTCTCGCCGAAGAAGCTTTCGTGTTATCAGCATGATGGAAGAAAGATCGCGCAATGAAAAGAAGTTGTTGCTCGAAGAATAGGGCTCTGTGACGGGCTTTGTATCCTTCTGTTACAGTACCATTACCCCCAATGACTCTTTTTTACACCAATCGGTATGCCAATCTGGAATTTTACACTTCTCTTACTAGTGCTCGTCAAAGTGTACTGTACTGTAGTTGATCCATGAGTGGGGGCGATTTAACTTACATGTACAGTACATACACGTTATGGGGATCATACAAATCATAAGTACATCTGTAAGCATCCAGTATTATATATCCAAGCATCGTTCTACCCACGTTGTGAGATTCACCCATTGCGCAGGAACAGCTATCACGGCTGTTAGTATAGACCTCACTAGACGTCTCTCTGAGTTCCTGGTACACCATCGCCTAGAGCTTAGATGCATTCCTAGGCCATGGAACAGCAGAAGAACTCGCGCAAGCCAGTCGCCCTCTCTCAGAAGGTCAAGATACTCATCACTGATCTCCAGTGTCCACTGTATACTTCCAGTGTTCGCGGGCCCGGCACCAATAGCTTCTTCAAGAAGCTGGTATGTATCCCGAAGCACCGGTGTATATGGGTGATTGCTTCTGTCTATTTCTGCTCGGACCTCCCGGAGCCTCTCCATGATTTCCCTGTAGATGTTAGCCTCAGAACAAACCGTAGAGACTCTAGTATACCGTTAAAGGGAGGCTTACCTGTGTAGCTCTCTCAAGCTCTGGTCAGCTCTGGAAATGTATTAGTTCAGCATATTCAACAATATCAAGTACTACGTGTTATACTGACTCCTCCTCTTCATTTATAACCCGAAGGCTATCTTTTGGCCTGTTGCCGGGGCTGTGATATTGATTGTGTAAGCTACCATTCAGGAGTGAGAGGCATCTAGTACCCTTGAGCATCATGTGTATCTCTAGGATTTCATTCAGCGAGTCTTCGTCATGGCAATCCGTGGACACGTTGGGTATGCTGTCGTGAAGATTAAGATGCAGACGGAACAGATCGCTGATGCATCGGCGTCCCCTGGCTGATCAGTATCATTGCTAGATAAGTTGCCGCGTAGAAACGTCAAAGCCGCCGTGTAGTACTCCAAAGCAGTTTTCAGCCAGTCCTTCGACGGCTCGGCAGGGGCGTCGCTGGAAGCCATGTGCAGGGCGGCCAGAGCCAACAGAGCATCCATCACGTGAGCGTACGATATTGCAGCCTGGGGCACGGTGGATGACCAGAAGGAATGGTCTTCTTCGTTCCTCGACAAGGTGCGGAAGGTCATTGTGAGGAAATGGTAGACAAGTCGCATCTCATCTAATCTCGAAAGACGCGCGGCTGATGAGTCTGCAGTAGCCTCGGCCATCGCACTCGGTTTGTGATGATCGGTGTTACTTCTCTCTTCTTTTGCGAAGCTGGCCAAGGGGGTTCTGTATTGTTTCGGTGCAGGATAATTGCAGGATAACGACCGTCGCGCACATGCGCTGCAATTCGGGCGCGTTTCATCACACTTATCTACTTTAGTCGAGAAGGCATGAATATATAGAGTATGAAGGAAGAAGCAGACCTTGACATGGCGTTGCTTACACTGGAAACAGCCTCTTCGGGATTGGGTATGGGTTCGACAAGTTGCCGGACCGTTCACTGCGTGTAGATAAGGACTACTACATTGCTTGGCCTCTTCTAGTGCACTTTGAGAAAGTGCAAGAATCCAAGTGCAGTGCCAAACAGCCCTTTCAGTCGCTATGAGGAACTTCATAGTATGTTTACAATGGCTCGCTTCGGCCCGACAATCAGCATGGTTTACTATTGTTAAGAGCTTGGCTCAATTCTTGGCCTAACCAGCATGTAGTAACATCGGCCCACGATCAGCCCAGCTGGATCTGGAGACGTCAGTCTTGAGACTAGGAAAAACTTCAAACACATTCAACAATCGATGAGCCACTTTGTTGACTCACTTTCGAGCCGGCCTGTCTACCACAAAAACAACCCCTGGAGTCTAAAGCGCCTACGTCCATCAAGTTCAGTGACAAGTCGAACCTTATTCAGTATGCTTTTGTGACCAGATTAACGCCATCTTCTCCAGGCATTGATGGCAGCTATTCCTCGCTTACTCATACTTGGACCTGCCGCGGGTGCTTCATGATTAAGATAATGATGTGTGTCCCTGAGTTGGTATATCTTCCTAAGCTCCTGTCTTGGGCATTGCCACACCTTTATCTATTGGTCATAATCTCCTTGAACAGAGGCCTCTCCAAAATATGGGCTACCCTCCACACGTTCTATCCCTTCAACTGATTGAAAGCCCTGAGCGTGTCAGTTTCCTCAGCTCCCAACTCCAGAAGCTCATTCATAGCATGCCAGCGTATGACGTATACAATGCTTAATCTGGCATGAGCTTTTGTGGTATGAGGTGTTGCACCGACACTAATTCGAACCTAGGTTTCCATTGGATCTAACCAACTGTCTTCAGTGTTTCGAGATGCTCCTCATACCCATCCGGGAGTCCTGGGTGAGCACTTACTGCAGGGTAACCATCTAACCATACATGGTAAGCCTGTTAATCTGGCACTCCCAGTTTCCCCTCCACATATTCCGGATCTACTCTTCCCGCAACAATCAATTGTTCATCTTGCTCTCTATCCTACATCAATGCTACCGTGTGGGGCCGTTGTTTATTCGCCAACCCCTTTTCCAACTCTGAAAATGATTGCGTGGATGTCCCACAGGCAAGCTTGAGCTGTCACCTTGCAGCACCTGCCTGGCCAAGAAATGGATGCGATATTGGAGGCAAGTCCACCAGGTCGCAAATTCATTACGTGCAGGATTCAGAGTCAAGTCTTTGAAAGATCATCGATGAAGCAACAGAATATGCTACGGTGCAACTTTTCCATCGACACTCGCGGTACAGCGAAAGGGAGTGCTCAAGGCAGCCATCCCTTGCTGGCAGAAGCTCCGGCCGGGCTGATCAGCTAAATCCGCCGATCGGCAGCGCCCCATCCTCTATTGATTCCACATTGCTTGTCCGAAGGATCAGGAACCATTGAGAATCGTCAACCACTACAGGAGCGTCCTGCTAGGGGGGATCTCATGCATGGTCTGCATGTTGGCTCAGCTGATGGCCTGCTGTGCGCTGCTCTTCGGTATCTCATTTTGCGCTCTTCCACGACCAAAACCCGCTGATCGCACAGTTCCATGTCAAGATGGACGATTCTTACTGCAATCGTGGACTCAGTTCCCTGAAATGTAATTTGAGTGTGCCATCTCGTGCTTCTGACCAACGGCATAGCAGATAAGCGAACCACAGCTGATAACCACTAAGAACCCACAATCAACATCGATACGCGACCATCCACATTCCTGCCACTCTCATTGGCCAGTCTACCACTTCTCGAGTCACATCGCGCTAGCCTGCATGCTTTGCAGCTTCAGCCTTTCCAGGCTATGTACTGTACTTTTGCGTGGCTTGTGCCTCAAGTGACAGGTTCGACATGCCTGCCACTCAAATACGCAAGACACGACCCGGAATCTGAAAGCTTGTTGTGGTGGTGGCTCTAGGGGCAAATGCGATTGTCCTCTGAAGGCTGCATATATCTCGAGCAGTCTTAACCTTTGGCCCTTTCTCTTCCTACCGGCAAGCTACAAATAGCTAGCTGTATAGCCAAGTGACATGGTTCTTCGAGCCGTGCTTGATCCGCTTGTGAAGCGGAATAACATTCTCGTGAGACCACCCCTCGTGTATTTCGTAGGCTGCGTGCTGATTGGGTTATCAGAGCTCTGACAATGATCCTAACGTTGGCTCCTCGCGGGGCAACGCTTCCTCGACAAGTTCCGATGTAATAGGAGATTTCGGACTTGGTGGGGGCTCAACTTCCCTTTCAGCATTTCTAACAACTTTGATCCCTGCCTTGGTGATCGCGGCCTTCTGGTTTGGCTTGTTTCTGATCTGTCGGCGAACTCAACTGCGGTGGTATGCACCCAGAACTCATCTGCCTTGCTGGCATAAACAGTACGTAGCATCCATCCCAAGCTCATTTGCTGTCACGACGACTTACTTAGAACTTCCGTAGTGAGCGAGCCCCACGTTTGCCATCAGGCTTTGTCAATTGGTTCGGAGAGTTCTTTAGGATCAATGATGCTCAGGTGCTGCATAACTCGTCTCTGGACGGCTATCTGTTCTTGCGATTCCTGCGTGTTCTGTCTGCGACATGTTTCACTGGATGTGTGATCACTTGGCCTATCCTGTTGCCTATACATGCCACCGGAGGTGCAGGGAATACCCAACTCGATGCGCTGAGTTTCAGCAACGTCACGGATCCTAAGCGTTATTACGCTCATGCCGTCATGGCATGCATATTCTTCAGTGAGGTGATCTTCTCAGGGTACTTCTGAACGTCGCTTACAGTTGAAAGCATTTGTTTTCTTTGTTATCACGCGAGAGAGCGTGTTTTATGCCAACTTGCGACAGGCGTACTTGAACTCCCCTGCGTATGCGCGTCGTATATCGTCCAGGACGGTGCTTTTCATGTCGGTGCCCGAGGAATACAAGAATGAGGAGACACTGCGACAGGTCTTTGGACAATCAATCCGGCGAATGTGGATTACTTCCGACTGTAAGAAGTTGGACGACAAGGCTCAGAAAAGAGACAAGCTAGCCTATAAGCTCGAAAGCGCCGAAACGAAGCTTATTCGGGCAGCGAATTCAGCTCGTCTTAAGGCCATCAGGAAAGGAGCTTCGCCGTCCAAGTCCTGCTTAGAGGCTGATGCCTGTCATGATTGTGAAGCGGACGCATCGGGCTGGTATCATGGTGTGCGAAGGCCAACTCATCGCCCCAAGCTTTTCGGCAAGAGGGTTGATACGATTCGCTGGTTGCGAACCGAGCTTGTCAAGGTCATTGAAGAGGTCGACGATCTTCAAAAAAAACATAGAAACGGAGAGATGAAGAATCTATCCGCAGTCTTCATTGAGTTTCACACACAGAATGATGCGCAAATCGCCCTACAAAC